TTCCTCATCTTTAGTGTCGCGCACAACGGGAAAAAGGAGAGAGAATAACTGCATCGCAAAACGGAAGACAATACATACCAATAGTAACATCGAAAAAAAGAATAACATGCATCTGCGTAAAATATTTCTCTACATTTTATTAGGAAAAGAGTGTTGATAATTAACATTTCATGATGATGTCCATTAGTGGTTATCTCTATTATTTTTCCTATAGTTCGTTTTCGCGACTTATTGCTCGATTAATTTTTAAAATCGCAATCTTGACGATAATTAAGACGATATTCTTGGAAATATATGTGCAATAATTTTGTCTTGGATTAGAAAATTTATTGTATTGATATTATATTTGTACTAATTCTATTTAAATTTATTATAAATCATGTATTTTACTGTTATCAAATAACGTAATAAATTATTAATCAAAGATAAAATGAATAATCTATAGAAGATTATAAATCGTACGAATATTGTGTAAAGAAATATAATAAAGGATTATTAAATGTATTTTCTTTTGAGATTGATGTTTTGTGATAAATTTATGTACGTGCATGATAATATTTTATACAACAAATACGTAGGCATTTGCTATAAACGTTTATTCACTAATAGAAAAATTAAAATTTTTTGATTTATTATTCTATTTGTTGCATTACGGAAAAAACACGCATCGCATGGACAAATGTTTCTACATACCTCAGGCATTAGATTAACGATGCATGATGCGATAGATACTAGAATTGAGAGTAGATTATACAGCTATTTCTAGAAATCATGCATATATGCATCTTGCCATTGCAACATGTTAATGCAAGACAATATATTCCAGATTAACTATCTACAAAAAAGATACGATTCTTAGAACTCTATAATTCCGTGGTAACTAATAATGTTAATCTAATATTTCTAATCTAAATTTAACGAATGGAAAAGCGTTTGATATTTGTAAAAATTAAATTTATTCTTGTCATAGTACAAGATTTAAGTAGAATGAAACTTGAATAGAATGAGCGTTCTGACCATGACGCGATCTTCGGGCAGTCGTTGACTTGTCAGAACCTGCACAGACACGTCTGACAAAATGATACAGAGTTCATCCACCAGCGCCACATATCGTCTGACATATTCAAACTGACGATGCACTGGTAAGGTGAACGGCCCGTCGGTTAACGAATGTGCCGTGGTAATAATCGCAATCTCGTGATTGTTAAAAAACTGATAGCGCGAGCATTTCCTTTTATTAATCTTTAACCACGGAATGTTAACCTTTGAAATTTAACTTACGCTTTGTTTAACATTTTTGTTCTGTTACCTATACCTATATCTA